ATATTCCTAACATCTATATTCACAGAGACCTTCGAATCGAACTTATTCAAGAGTATATTAAACGATTAGCGGTCAACTTCTTTTATTCAGTACAAACCCACAGTAATAGCCTTATTAGCACTCTCAGGGGTCTAGTCTGGACACCGGTCGAGATCGATATCGGAAAACCAGTTGGGATTCTCTTTCCACTCGACAGCAGAAGGGAGAGTGAGTCTGGGCCCTTCAAATTTCCCCGGCGGAACGTCAAGTGGAAATTCCGTGCGGAAGTGACGTTTATTGCATAGCAACCAGTCTATCTCACCTCTACATTGCTCCAGGCTCAGAGGAACGGGGTAGTTTGTTGTCAAAGGGGCTGTTTCGCACGTGTTTATTACGGAGGATGGCGGTAAAAATCGAGTTCGAGTAAATGGTGAAATTTTTCGAAAAAATACCCTGCTGGATTTAGTAAAGAGTATGGAAAAAAAGAAATGGGGAACGTTAATGGATATTTTAAACGCAGAAAGAAATGGCCTTTTCAAAACTTCAGGTATGTGAAGAAACGTAAACATAATTTTACGTATGATCTTTTGCAAAATGGAAATTTTCTAAAAACATTACATGTTTGTAAACTATTTGTTAACAGGAATTTTATGATTAAAATACATTATTTTGCCTGAAAAGATTATGCAACAACGTCATAAGTCAAATCATTGAAATATAGCACCGCGTACGCGTTTTTAATATTCCTAATGAATTTGAATAAAAAAAATTTTAATTTTTAGCAACCCATGATTATATTAATAATTTTATTTATTCAGGAATTATACCTATCACGTAGCTACAAATATAATATGTATCGTAGATACCAATAAGCAGTGAGTAAAAATATAACAAACTTTTCACAAAAGTAATAGGAAGAAAAATAAAAAAAATTAAATAACTATAGGTTAAATCATAAAACATATTATCTTGCACACACACACACATATATATATATTTGAACTTTTTCTTGGAGACACAGCTCCTGGTAATTTGGCGAGCTCTCTACAATTTCTCATTTCCTTAATTTTGCAGAATATTGCGCAAAAAATTTTTTAGACCAAATTGGTCTTTCAGTATCGTAATTACTTCCTAGCTTGTTAATTTTATATATATATATATATTAACATATGCAGTGAAAGAAATTGCAATACATATTCCTATTTATACCCTTTTTAAATCGATAACACCAGTGACCGTGTGGTAAAATCGCTGAACACTGGTAGTTCGGTCCGAGGCCCAAATACTGCGAACGGGTTTGTTGCATTACCAACATATCTCTGATAACCAATATATCTGTCATTATCAACATATTTCTCGTAATTTTCAAAAGCATAAAAAATTAAGGCATACGAAACCTGTTTTAAATAAATAACTATATGTAATATATAAATGTATTATAAATATATTAATATATGCAATGAGTACATATTCCTATTATGCTTTTAGTCTCCCCAGGCGGGTACAATTACTTCCGTCCAGCAAATTGGCCCGCAGGGCTCTTAGTAATAATATATCGGTAATCGAATAAATTTACGTGAAAAATATCGTGCCTACATGTGGTTAGAAATCCTGGTGTGCAAAAATTAAGGACGAGACGGTTTTTTCAATATAACTTTGTACAAAAGCTTTCCAAATCAACACATTTAATACCGTAAGATCCCCAATACGTAAGGACATGAGTAATGTAAGCAACACTTACTAAAAGAGAAATCAGAGGGATAAAAAGAAGCTTTATTGAAAAAGTAGCATGGAGCGCAATGCGACTGAAGGCCGAAACATCCCTGTGATGGGTGTCCAGCAAGAAACATCCGGTCTTTAATAGGGGATATGATCTCCCCTGACTGCTAGGCAGGTTTCACAGCGTCTGCCCATGCTGAGAATGAGGGTGTCAATGAGTTGTTGAGGCATTGCTGCCCATTCGTCTTGCAGCGCCAATCGAAGCTCCGGAATCGTTACTGGTGGTAAGGTACGAGCTGCCAAGCGTCTGCCTAGAAAATCCCATACATGCTCGATGGGATTGAGATCCGGAGATCGTGCCGGCCAATCCATACGTTCAATATCCTCACTCTCTAAGAGCTGTTCGGCAGCTACTGTGCGATGACATGGTGCATTGTCGTCCATGAAAAGGAACTGCGGACCCATAGCGCCTCTAAAAAGACGCACATATGGAAGAAGAATCTCGTTACAATAACGGGTCCCGTTGACTGAACCTGCGTCGAAGATGTGAAGGTCTGTACGACTACCAAGCATGATGCCTCCCCAAACGAGAACACCGCCACCTCCATACCTGTCCCTTTCAATGATGTTCGAGGGATGATTGCGGCTTCCCCGCTCTCTCCAGATGAGTATGCGATGAGAATCGCTACTCAGACTGAATCTGCTCTCATCTGTAAAGAGTACTCGTCCCCATTCATTGTCTCTCCAATTCCGGTGTTCCCGGCACCACAGAGAACGCCTTCTCCGATGGGCAGGCGTTAGAGGTACACACCGTACAGGGCGTCGTGCAAACAGACCACCACCGTGCAGTCTTCTGGCCACGGTAAAACGCGATATCGGTCGTCCAGTCGCCTGTGTCGTGTGTCTAGCGATTTCTCCCGCTGTCTGCCGCCTGTTTCTTCTGGCCTGTAAGGCAATATACCGGTCATCTGCGGGTGTGGTTCCTCGTGGACGACCACTACTAAACCCCCGGATAGCTGTTCCTGTAGTTTGAAATTGTCTCCAAAGTCGTGAAACGATGCTGTGAGCAATTCCGAACTCTGCAGCCACACTTGTCACACTGCGGCCTTCCTCCAACTTCCCAATGATTCGACCTCGGGTAAAAGCATCCAGATGTCGTCTAACAGATTGATTATTCGCCATTTCTCGCTGAGGCAGCAACTCGGTGTGATTTTAACTGCTATACGGCGTGCAATCTCTTTGCCAGAAATACTGATCTTACACCGACAACATGCTTTATACTACTCAGACACTCCCCCATTACGTCTACCTGCATATCTGCGCATGTGCTACCGTACATCACCTTACTTAATCTCCTGATTGGTCTTTCTGTCCACTCTGCCTCTTCGTTCAGCTCATATGCTAATTTTTCGACTTCGTCCTTAATTTTTACACACCAGTGTATATTTATACCCTTTTTAAATCGATCCCACATGCGGCCGGTAAAATCGCTGAACAGTAGAAGTTCGGTCCAAGGTTGGAATACCGCGAAAGGGCTTTGTTGCATGGACCTTTTCGTGGTTTTTCCAATGTGTTACGCGTGTACGAGCTAGTTTTCCTTAGAATGTCCTCCACGAAGGCAACCCTCACTTTAGGCAGATAGTCCTCGAGGCTTTGCCGTAATTACATAAAACCAAAACTAACCACATTTTAGATCTGAATAAATATACACAAAACTAATGTAGTATCTAAAAGTAGACCACATTAAAAAATCTGATAACTAATTATAAATCTTGCATTATAATATTGACAAGAATTTAACCGAAAATTATACAGGAATTTAACTTGTTTTATACAGGAGATTCTAGAAACTATTGGAAATTGACATTGATATCGGTTACAGTTAAAATTACTTAAATAAATATTTTAACTCAAAGCAATTTAATGTAAATGTTGAATTTAGGATGTGCATAGTTTGAATTATATACTGCATATTCTTTAATGCATTTGTCTAATGTATTACATTTTATACACTAAAAATTAAAATAAAAGTAGAGGGAAATACATTATAATTTAAAACATAAAATTTCAAAATTTATAAATTACTCATCAGAACATGAAATTAAGTACATTGATATATACATTAGTTTAAAAATAACAATTTTAAGTGAAAAGTATGCACCCCTTCTTTATATGTGAAATAGAAAAACACCAAATATATTATTTTCACTAAAATTTAATTAAGGCATTGGTAAAGTAGAATAAATAAATAATGTAGAATCATCAGCATCAAATGCGTTATTTCTATTGCGAAATACTCGAGTTTTTCACAAATTTTAATAAATTAAAATATTTATTACGCACACTTAAAAAAACAATCCGTGACCTCCGCCGTCCTCAGTTTACCTCTAAAACGACAGTCAGAAACTTAAACGGCAGCTGTCCAGCTGACGGAAAAATTTCCTACGCGTCGATCTCTGTAATGATCGAGAAGATGACACCAGACTCGCTCTCTGTCGAGTAGATCGTGAAAAACGACCCGTTCTTCTATCTCGACGGTGTCCAGACTAGGGCCATCAGACACTCCCCACGTCCCAGAGAAAAACATCGTTACCCACGTGACATCCTTCCCACATAAGAATCACAACCTTAATTGACTCATTCACGCAAAACTGACTCTGCGGTTTTACCACCCGCGGCTACATCTTATAACACTGAACACTGAACTTGACACCCCCCTTTTTTCGCCGCCGCTAGTGCAGACCTCACTCTCTTTCATCCGCCTCCCACACTCCTTTCACCATTCTCTTTCTCCCCCCACCCGCTCTTTATCAGAAGTTGAGTAAAAAGATGTTTCTACATCTTGACACTCGAGAATAAAATACGATCTGCGTGTTGGTAAAGTCGCTGAACACTGGCAGTTCGCTCCGGGGTTCAAATCCCGGCGAACGGGCTGCTTGCGATGGCGTTTCCGTGGTTTTTGTCATTGTAACGTGTTTGTAACGTCTCTTGCGGAATGTATCTCATTCAGACCACCTGATATTTTCAGTTGAATCTTCTTCACTACCTTAATAAACGAGGTTGACGTAGTACCAATGTACTGAATTTATATTTTGTCATTAGAAATCAAAGAAGTGATTTTTTTTTTCTTTTTTGTTGCTTCTCGTTCCATCTTATTGTTTATTAATTTTAAACTTTAGTATTTGATATTTTCTTTGTTTAACCCAAAGAATCTCTAATCCTTAGAGATTCTTTGGTTTAACCTTTCCTCGAATTCCTGTAGGCTGAAAAACTGAGATTAAGATGTGTAATTGATATTTGTTGACAAAGTGGTGTCATGGCTATTAGTAGATCGTAAATTTTAGGATAATTATTATCGGAATTTCATAAGAACTTGAATCCTATAGCTAATATTTGAACTTCAAAGCATAAAATTTCAAGTCATTGCATTCGAAATTACAAAATAAGCTATATGTCTGGCTAATTTTTAACTACTTTTTTTTTTCTATCATCGCAATATACACTTTACAGTACTTATTTTTGCGTCGAGTAATCGTATGATTTTGATGGTGTAAGAAATCTAAGTAATTCGTTTAGTTCATCGGCTTAAATTGTAATTTTAAGAAAATAGTTTGATTAAATTATATTTTATTTGATTGAACTGTTGAATCTCAGCAAGATCATTCCTTTATGAATAATGGAAGAACCTGATTCTGTATCTGATGACTTTATTGTCTGTGGTAGCGATGATGAACTTGGGTCTTCTAAAGAATTTACGAATTCATGGGAACCATCACCTGAAGAAATAATAAATATGTATGAAATTTTAGAAAGTAAAGGAGTACTGGATTTTGAATGGCAGTGTCCCGGTAGAAGATCACCAAGTATTAATTCAATTAAGTCTGATCTAATGGAAAAAGGTTCAATTTCAGATGATGATAGTAATAAGCAGTAAGTATGGTTAAAATAAAGCAACCATTACGCATTTCCTTTTCACTTCAGATTGTTTAGCTAATCTTTGGAATATGGTAACAGGTAGTTTGGCGACATTTTGGTAAGGCGATAATGGTTACTAGCTAGGACTTTAGCAGTGTACATGGATATAGTCAAGAGTGGGTGCAATGCCATTTTTGTGCAATTCTGGGATTTTTTTTTAAGTGAAAATAGGTCGACGTGTACATGGATGATACCGTGTATGTGCAATTCGTAAAAACGCGGCAAGCAGTAGGCGATTTTGCACTTTGTCCCAATTCCGCACCTCATCTTCGTCATGATTAAGCACTTTTGTTCCATAAAAGTTCTAGCATAAGCGTAATTCGGCTAGCAGATTGTTGGAAAAAAATGTTGAGTTAAAAAAAACATGCCTTTACTTCATGAAAACAAAATGGCGTCCAAACAAAAACTAGCAGGTTGCTGTAGCAGGGTTGGTCGCCAAAAAATCGCCAAGTTACCATAATCCAAAGATTAACCAATTGTTTTTCATTTAAATGCAACAGAAAGATTTCAAGTCAGAAAAGCTATATATTTCGGTACTTATGCATTATCAGATTGAGCATGAATGTTGACTATTATTGAATTACCGGAGATCCAGCCAAAGTCTCGTCATATCACTTCTGTGGAATTCTAAAGGAACTGACACCTTTTTATTTAATAAACAATCAGTATTCGACCCACTTCATTTTTACGTTTCGTAAAAAGACTTTCGTAAGTTTCTATTATTTTGTTAGGCCTTCTGATTTTATTAAAAGTTCTATTTAGAACACTATGAGTACATACTTTTGCAAGTAATTGTTCCATTCTGTTGCTATTTGTCAATCATATTCAGCTGACCATATCATGTCCATTAATATGCACTTTTTTTTTATGGTAGGATCCTAAACATTTAAAACAATCCATTGCTTGTTGTTCTGTTCTAGATATGTCTCAAATTTTAATCTTCTTCTTCTTCTTTTTTTTTTTTTTTTTTTTTAAAAAAATGCAATAAGAAAAATACAGCAGTAACTGTTTATATCCTTGTTCACAAAAACATAGGTACCTTGGCTTGTCGAGAATCTTTCAGGGTTGCATCAGACGAAAGTGCAGATGTTACGAGTGTGTTGTTGCAACTTGCTTATCCATAATTGATCCTAAACTGCACTGTTTGGTGAGAGTTTCATGTTTGATAGAATAATACATTAATTATCCATATTTCTCTACTCGAATTTCTTGCAATGTAAATGATATAATATCCGTTCAAATCATCAGTATTGTAACATACAGGCTTTTTTTTTTTTTTCAGGCTTACTATTTAGTACTTTGATATATGCTCTAAAAATATGTTGTAATAGTCAATTTAACAAAACTTGTTTAAAAGCGTGCAAGTTTCATTTTTTATAAAGTAATTGTTAATAGCTGATAGTTGTGAAAAATCTCTACTTGCTAATCATTTTTAGTATTAATAGATGTAAGATAAGTGACTTGGTGGGCAAATTCAATTTTAGATTGGTGTTTTTATGTTAAAATGTAAAAAGTTCTTTACATTTCAAAACACTACGGAACTTGTGTCTGTACATCAAAATCAATATTCAGAGCTCCTATTCCCAATCAAGAAAATATTGTATCAAACTGTCTGTTGAAATAAGCAAAGCCTTTTCTTAACGACATTGTAAAGATTTTTCTTTCTAATTTTTTATTTTTAAAAATATTAAAAGTACATCATAAGTATGCTGTTATAAAATTGCTTTTATAATATTTTATGTATAAATATGTTACAAATAAAGTCTAAAGATAATGCCAAAAATATAGAATTCTGCATAGTTTTATTTTTTTATGTTTATCATACATACTTATATGCATTTTGAGTTTTAGGTGGTGCTTCAAGATCATTTATGTTGTAATTTCTATTCTGTTATCTAGAACCCATTTTACACAACACTTTACAAATAAATAATTTTGTAACAGAATTTTAAAAATGTTTTTCTTAAAAAAAGTGCCCTAAATTTCTCACTTTAAAAATAATGGCTCTTGTATTGGAGTTAGGATTAAAAGATTTTCTGATCCAACTCTGCAGCTTGACACCCAAGTCAGCTTTCAAGAATGGCATTATTTGTATATAACTTTATATAAAATTTTATCAGCAATTTTTTTTTTTTTTTTTTTTTTTTTTTTTTTCCGATTGAAAATGATTTTATTTATTGTTTACAGAGTTGAACCTAATGAATTTGATTTCAAGGATGAATTTTCAGTGGAACAGCCATCTCCAAAAATTTCTCAAAGAAGAAGAGTATCTCATGGTAAAGAGACTTTCATATATAGAATTGTGAGACAAAAGGGCTTGGAAATTATTAATCTTGTAATTCTTTAAATATGTGACTTTTCCTTCATATATAATTTTGAAGTTAAGTACAGTACAAAGTCTGTAATCCGGACGTCCATAATATGAATGATCTATAATCCGGACCTCAAAGCTACAAACTTTATACGCATGCGCGTTTAATGTATAACGGATGGTATAAGCTAGGCTAAAATTATCTAAGGCATTTCAGTTAATGTTGCAGATTGCACTGTTCCTTAATCTTCTAATTGTATCTGGCTTATTATTTTTTGCAGACTGTTAGAACAATTTTATAAAAATTAAGCTTGAACTTTCGATTATGTCAAAAAGAGTTTAAAATTCTGAAGCTACCAAAGGATCTAGAAAGCGAAAGCATGTTTCGATGTCCATTAAACAAAAAGTGGAATTGCTTCAAAAAATGGATAAAGGCATATCCATCTCAAAATTATGCGAGAAGTATGGCATTGGAAAGTCCACTATATATGACACAAGGAAAAGGAACTTTTTGAATTTTTTCTGGAAGCATCTTAAACAAGTTACATTGAAAGAAATGTTTAATAAAGTAAACAAATAAATATTAAGCTTTTTTTGTAAATTTTGATACCCTTTGGTTCATAATTGTTCTTTATTTCATAAATTACGATTTCATATTTTTAATTGTATAATTTCTGCATGCCATCTTACCAGATTTAAATTGATGATCTATAATCCAGAAAAAACACTAATCCGGAATCGCCTGAGTCCCGATGAGTCCGGATTACTGACTTAATACTGTATAATGTTATAATTTGTGAATTATGCGGTAAAGAAATGTGGTATTTCCTAATTTGTTCAAAGAGTAAATGACCTTGAACCCTTAGATTTCATCCAACTAGTAAGATACATAAAGAACTTTAAAAAAGCCTATAGAAATAGAAAGTATACTAATAGAGAACCTAAAAATGAATATACAGTACCTGCTGCTCATTAAAATCACTTCCATTCCAAGCTTATTTGAGTTTATTAAGGTGAGTTTAGTAAAAGTATTTAATTTGAATTTATTTGCAAATTGCAATTATGCTATCAACTTAGCTTATTAGTAAGATAGTACTGACAGTTACTAAAATTAGTAATTTTATGCATAAATTATTAATAAAAATTATGCTTAAAATTAAAATCTTCACAAAACTTTGAAATATATTTTTTAGTTTTTTTTTTTTTTTTTTTTTTTTTTTTTTTTTTTTTTTAAACTTATTACACAGACTTGATGAAATTTATACGTTTAGAAAGAAACTGCTGTTATCTGTTTTATTTGTTTTGCATTGTTCATCAACAGGCTTTCAGTTTTGTTTTTTTTTTCCCCCCCAAGTAAAACTGTTAGTAGCTTTTATGAAAAAACTTTGGTATCTTTCAATTCAAAGTTCTCATAGTTTGCAGTGCTTTTCTTAATTCAGCTGAGGTTGGCATGTAGTCACTTTCTTCCACATCAGTTTCAGTTTGTGCAGCTCTTTTAATACTTTCTATAATCTCATAGTTAGTGTTTTCACATACTGTCTCAACCTTAGCATCAGTTGTAACATATTCTAAAAACAAATCTTTGTAATTTCTCTCACTGATGTCCAAAATATTATAAATAGCATCCAGTTCCTTTGTGGCTTCTTCCAAATAAAAATCTCATTTTCTAAAGCAGTTTGTAATTGTGTTTTGGAATACTATTTTCTATCCATTGACTACTGTAATAATCATTGACTCTAGCATACACATATTGGTAAAGATATCTTCCTCAAAGGGCTTGTATTTTCACAAAATTCAATTTTATTTATCTTTTTTTTTTTTTTCCCCCCCCTCCCAAATGACACTGCTTCTGTAATTACATTTGAAAGATCTTATAATACCTAGGTCTAATGGCTGAATGATAGAAGTATTTGCAGGAAGAAACACTAAATTAATGTGTATTTTTCAAAATGACATCAAACATCAGAGGAGTGTGCTGCACAGATTTTTTAACAGTAACCTATATTTATAGGTTTCAGTTCTCTGTCCCATTTCAAAAGAGAAATCAGTAAAAATGCTGTTTGTCATTTATCAGTTGTTACTATGGTAAGTTAAAGATAAATTCTTGACTCCTTTAAATCGAGGTTTTGTACTCTTTCCCAGCAACCACTGGCATCTTTTTAATTGTTTCATCCATAATGCACATTAATAAGACAGTAGTTTGTTCTTTTAATTTTTTAAAACCAGCTGTTGTTTCACATTTAAACACTACTGTGTGCTCCGGTAATGCTCTGTTTCTTTTAATTTCTTAAAACCAGCTGTTGTTTCACATTTAAACACTACTGTGTGCTCCGGTAATGCTCTGTAAAACAGACACTTTCACCTGTGCTATAAATTTTATGTGGTTTATATTCTTCTAGAAGCTCGGATAAAACATCTTTTATCCATTTCACAGCTGAACGATAATCTGTTCTTTGCTTCTCACCATGTATTTTCTGAAAATCATTTAGGCATTTTTGGCATGTTGCATTCAAATTATTTAATTTCCTTATTTTTGCAGTTTTTTGGGTGGCCTTGTGATAAACTTCTAGTGTTAAAAATTTAGCATTAGTGAAATCCCACAGCCTGCTGTGCTACTTTTGTTGGTATTCAACTCCTTCTTTTGGGGGGAGGGGGGAGAATTTAATGGAAAATTCCATTAAAAAGAGTTTTTATTTATATTGCTACAAATTTATATATAATTAATATGATGGTGTTTGTCATAAAACTGTTTAAGATATAAAATATTTTGATAGCATACATGTGAAATAAATGGTGGCTTTTGACAGTTTAAATAAAAGACATTTGAACACCAGAAAAGCAATAAAATCCATTTTTGTAAATTATAAAAGCTTTGATATTGTCTACATGGTATAAAAGATACATAAAAAATGTGCATATAAACTTTCAGTTAATTGCAAGGAGAAAATGGCTGACAAAAAGGGAAAAGAGGCTGCTGATAGAAACAGCATTTCAAAAACAATAACATTTTGTCTATGCTGTGTCTAGTGTTGTATTTTGAAGAATAATTGTATGTATAGAGTGTAAATTGTAGTTTGGTATGGAGTATAATGGAGTGGAATATATAGTAGTTAACTGCAAGTTTTTAAAAGTTTTATCTGAATGTAGTAGTATTTAAATAAATGTAATTATAATCTTTGCAAGAATAGTATTTTATAATAAACATCTTTGATGTGAGTCCTTGTAATTATATTTTGGCTGTATAGTGAACTCTGAAATGCAGTTTTCTGCTTCTTCCAAAGTGTATTCATATGGATCTCCATTGAAAGTGGGAAATTGTATTTGTTAAAAATTATAGCTTTTACTTCTTGTGGGAGCCCAATTTTAATACTTTTCATTACTTGTCTGTGGTTTGTAATAATTAGAAATTACTTTTTCAAATAAAATGTGCTTTGGGTAACATTTGTAAATTCCAGCTGTAGTAGTTGTCTGCCTAAATTTCATCAGTTTTCTAAGCATTTCGACTATTGTAGTTATGTAACATGTGTAAATATTTTCTTTACAAGTATTTAAAATGTTTATGTTTATTTTATTCATGCAATATTTTCTTTTTCAGTTAGTAGTGCACAGAAAAGAGTTGCAAGATTGGATAAAGTTATGTATGATATTCAAAGACATCGTAAATTAGATGAACTTGAATTGCAGAAAAGTGCACCTTCTACTATATCAAGTCCTACAAACAATAACTCTGATTATAAACATAAATATATTAATTATTTGATATTTTTTCTTGAAGCTTAGATATATATATATATATATATTAATTGAAATTTGAAAAGTTGTAACTAAAGTAGAATTGTATTTTCCAAAAGAAATTTCGGATACATTGTGTATAGTTTTTTCCTTTTTGGCCTTTATAATATCTTTCTGTAGTATTGTATATATACAATATATATATGTAAGATATAATAAAATATGATAGCTGCTTTAAAAATAATTGGTAACTTCAAAATTAATATTCTAAGTTTGGTGCTCTCTCTCTAAATTCATCTGTTCTCACAAATTTTCACATGCAATTTTTGTTTTTATTTTTTTCCTAATGTATTTTACTTCCAGAAGTAAATTTTATTTTATTTTATTTATTTTATTTTCTATTCTTTAAAATTTTTTCTTTTTGCATTTTTATTTTATCCTTAACTTCTTTCCCTTCTTTTAAGTACTTATTGATGTTACATCTCCAATTCTTCAAAAGTAAACTTACGTATATTTCTCTGTCTATGAAATTTTAAGTTGAAATTTACAACATAAAATTTCACTCTGCAAGCCATCATGGGTAATATTTTCTGGAACTTTAACACTTTTGCTGCCGATCATGTGAGGTTATATTGATAGTTAATGCTATATCACAGAAATAGATTGTACCTATATGCGAACTTACTTATTATAAGAAGTATGATTTAAAAGATTATTATGTGTACCACATTGATTACTTATCTTAAAGAATCGAATTTTATAACTACGTGCCAGCGCGTGATCGGCATTAGAGGAAAAATTACTTCTGCAATGCCGCATTATGCGCTGGCATGTGGCATTTAAAGTGAATCAAAATAAATAATAATATGCATTATTTTGGTGTGAAACTATATTCTAAACAAATATATATATTACAAATGAATTTATTGCAAGATAGCTACAATGATATTATTGCAAACTATATATTTCAGAATGTTATTCGTGTATGATCTTTGTGTGAAATGAAACTTTGTTTCCAGTCCAAACCACATACATTTACAACTAGTTTCTAACTTTCACTCCACACTAATACCAACATATATATTCAAAACATAATGTCGATTGAACATGAAAATCAACAATAAGATGTTGCTTTCCTTGCACTAGTACATGACTGGCACCTGAGACATCACCCCACACCATGCGCAAGAGCGTAATTGGCTCTTCAACAATGAGGCCAGTGTGTGATCTACAGCAAACGTGCTAAATCCAAACGTACAAGGTTCATTCTGTATGGTTTCATTGAATATTACATTTCTTACTTTTTATGCTACTGACACTTAATAGGAGATACTGAGAACTTTTTTTCTTTTAATGTATTGTACTAATTAGTAATGACTGTATTGTATTAACTTTTTTGGATTTTGGAATGCTATAGAAAACATGGCAGAATTTTTTTTTTTTTTTTTTTTTGCATATCTTACTTTTACTCAAAGAATTCACCAAACTATGTCTGACAAATGTAAAGTTTAAATTTTCTACTTTCTATTTATGTATTTTCCTTTCTATTTAATTTTTATCCTGCTTTTAAAACATATTAATGCTGTATTTCTGATTCCCTTACCCTAAAAATAAATACAGGCACAAGTTTCTTTATTGTAAGATCTACTAACTTTGAACTAATCTTATAAAGAGTAATAAATTTTCATGGCATAAAGTTTATTCAAACCAATACTTGAGTTTTTTCTGCCCAGTTCAGATACATACCAGAAATATTTCATTTCTTATTATTTTACTCTACAGACATTTGCATGAGTATACTCAGAACATCCTTTTTTATTCAGCAGAAGGATGCCTTACATTACTAACACCGATTACCGTTTAAAACACTATACAAAAATAGCTTGTATTTTATTGTGCACATACTACCTAAAACCACTAAAGATTTTCTAAACCTTGATTTTTTTTTCATGTGAAAACATCACTTGGAGTCTGAGCATGATGTCAACCATCTACTGCAGAACCTCATAAATGCTACTGTATTTGGACTTTGCCTTGCCTTTCTTAACAAGGTACACAAATGGAATTATTCTTAACTACACTGAAGAATATCCACACTGCAGCGTATTTTAAATTTGAATTATAGTCACATTTGTGAAGGAGAACTCAAAGTCTTAAAGAACGAATATACATCTAGAATTAATATCCAGCCATGGAAAAGAAACTTTGTCGCCTTTTTCCAGCTTGGAATATAAAAATTTCTTAACTGGGAATACTTTTTTCAACAAGTAAATATGATCCCTTTTTTTTTTTTTTTTTGCTGAGTCCCATAGCTTTTTAACGTATTCAGTGTAACTTAACTAAAAGTACCTGGTAAGACCCGCGTAACGCTAGAGGGCGCTGAGAGCGCCATTGAGTGTGTTCAGATAGTTGATGGAAGATGTGACGTAGTGATGATGTGAGATTTCTGAGATTGTTACATTATTATATATAATTAAATCAATTTATATTTTATTGATTGCCTTAATTGAAATTTTATGTAATACTATGAACACCACACTATTAGAAAGTTGGACTACCACTGAATCTTCAAACCACTGATGCGCATTTGGTGCATCTCAGCCGAAAACCAGGTAAGAGAATCTTTATTGAATTATGAAACTGAATTATACCTAGATAGAAATTAAATATGGCTGAAAATCTGTCAAAGTTGTTGACGAAATTAATTAACAAAATAGAAGTTACTATTAGCAAAGAAAACGAAACAGTTGATCAGTTCGAAGCATTTTTGGAACAATTAATCGGAAAAGAAACTGACTTACTTAAATTCTTTAAATGATATCTTTTATTTTAAATTGAAAATCTTTTGAGCGTCGAGACAGGAATTACAAGTGAATCAGATGCAAAATCTATTGAAACCAATTTTATGAAAATTAATTGCTTCAGAACTCGTTTTAGAATTTAATTTAATCGCATTCAAGGCGACAAAGAATTTGACTTAAAAACTCTTTTGCAATTCATTAATAAAGAAATTCGAAGCTGTGAGAGATCCTTTTCAATTAATAATTATGAATCATCGAATCAGCGAGGGCACTTATTTTCCCCTCAAGAGAAAATAAAAAGTAAAAATTCTACTTCCGTTAGACATAACTCTTCAAGACCTCCGCATAAGAGTTTGGGAGCATCACTTGTATCAGTAGAATTAGTTACTTTCGATTTCACGTCCATTGCATGAAGCTCAGTAGGACTCATGATGTCAGAGGTTTTGTCAGCCATAGCTGCTAATTTTTTAAGTTTGATATCAGAAGAGGCCAATATAGCTTGCATCTGGGCTGGAGGCGTTGAAGCCACAATGATTTTAGTAATTCAGTTCCGACGAGAGGTCCAGCCAGTTCTTGCATTGATGGGCGTTTGTCGCCTAAATGAATGTCTCTCAAAAGTTTTTTTAATTTTTGTTCTTCAGAGTCAGAAAATACTTCAATCAATCTTTTATTAAGAGTGTCATAAGCATCAATAACTGGAGGAGGATCAATTATATCATTTACCTGACTTAAGATGTCAGTCTCTATATGGTATTTTGTGATATCGGTAGTTATCCCACTGTTAAAAAAATTGGCTTTCAACCCGCGCGAAACCAAATACTTGGATTATCTTTCCAAAACGGCGGTACTTTAACTGAGATTCTGTTGATTTCAGGTGCTTGCGTTGAAACGATAGTATCGTCTTTAACAAACATGTTCGAAACGATTAAAAAACGTGTTGTTTTTTAATGCCGTAGTCACTAATTTGGGGTCTGATTAATGGCTAGACACCCAATTTAGAAAAATAAATTCTTCAATTAATCAAAATACGTACATGGCAATAAATAACAGGAATTTCAGCGATGAGTAAAACGCGTACATGAACTTGTAAAAACAGAAGGCGAAAGTTCTCTTTTGCAGTCGCGCAGAGATGATAGTCTTATCGCGCATGCGCGAAGAGGTTTGGTTATGGCAAAGCACACTAGGGCTATCTGCCTAAGGGGAGGGATGCCTTCGTGGAGGACTTTCTAAGGATGCGCGCGAAGAGGAGAACTCGGCAAAAAAGAATACTATATTGAAAACATATTCAGCCTTAAATCGATAATGGAAAAGAGCAGGAAATTGTTAGAATTTTCCTGAACAATGGTTTCACACCGCTCCTTTGTTTTGTCAGCTATTTCCAAAAGGTTTAACTTTCCAGTTCCACACAAAACGTTAAAAAAAACGCTTCCTTGGGCATAATATAAAATCTGAAAACTTTGAGATATATTTTATTTTTTTACCATTGAATATGCCGTGCAACTGATGACTGTTGCAGCTATGCTTATCTTGATACAATAAAAATCTTCTCAACTGCTCCTCAGTTACTGGAGAGCATTCATTCTGACGTTCAATGCTATTTCTAAAGCGCTCCTTCTGTACTATCCCTTTCAGTGCTTCTAAATGTGCTATCATCTGGCAGGAGAGATTCGAGTCAACTACTAAGTGATCCTCCTCATCGTGCAAATTTGTAAGAATATCACAGACCTCACTCAGCTGGATTTGGCTATCCATTATGTTAGAAGTTTTATCCTACCAAATTAGGCTTATTAATCGGTCAAGTTCTTTTATTCTTGAGTTTTTATCTTTTTTTTTCATTTGCAGCATTAGACAACCAGCATGCCTATTAGTCTTGAGAGGGATCTTGACATCTTTCCTTCGAGAAGAAAAGTTATCCCAGGCATAACCAAGTTTCTAAGTGGCTTTAATTAATTTTTCATTTCTATGCTTGCTATGCATATACCTGGCGACAATCTGGAAAGCGATCTTGGCAGATTTTTCTTGGAGGAAGTCATAATCGCCGCCTTAACCAAGCTTCTAGATAAAGTAACTTTAATTTTCTTTTTTGTCCTTTGCCACTCTGAATATTCTACAAGTTTCAAAAAGCAAGCTGCCACAAAATTTAAGGAAGGAGGAATAATATTTATCTTTCAACCTAATACTTTTTTCTACTAGAGAAAAGTAATGATATACAGTCAAAAGTCGTTAAATCCGGACTCGCCGGGACTTCGGCGATTCCGGATTATCGATTTTTCCGGATTATAGATCATCAGTTTAAATCTCGTAAGATGGCATGCAGAAATTCTAAAATTAAAAATATGAAACCGTAATTTATGAAATAAAGAACAATTATGATCTAAAGGGTATCAAAAATTTACAAAAAAAAAAAAAAAAAAAAAAAAAAAAAAAAAAAAAAAAGAGC